AAACCGAAAGAGATAGATACATGCAGAAAGGGAGAGGGAGAGGGAGCCCGATTTAGAAATAAACGCCCCAAAAAAGCCACCAGTGGAGACATGAGATGCAGGCTTCTCCCACTGACGGCCCTGTCCTTGGACAGGAATTGGTACGAATGCAAGTTGAAGGCCTTCCTGGCCCCGTGCTTCGACACGTGGTCGAGGAAAGCCGTCGCCAAGGTCACCTCGTCCACGGTCATGGCCGCGGCGCCCGAGGAGCAGGAACGCGGAGAGGGGAGGCGCGAACCCCAAGGACCTCCCGAGGTCCTACGGAGGACCTCCATGAGGTCCTCCAGACCTCCACGCGATGCCCTCGATACTGGACCTCCCGAGGCGCCCCCGAGGTTCCACCGAGGACTTCCCGAGGTCCTCCCGAACGTCCAAGGTTTCCCCGAGGGCCCGAAGCCCCGCCGAGGACCTCCCGAGGTCATTATGGGTCTTCATGGATCACCCAAAATGGTTCTCTCGGCAAGGGGATACCACCCTTTGGAGAAAGGATCATCTTCGCCCTCCTCCTCCTCTTCCTCTGTCCTCCCGAACCTTCTGGAGAAACCCTGGGAAGGGGAACAGGCGCGGTGGCGCACGGGCGCGAGAGCTCAAATTGAGCTGCGGTCGCACGACGAATGCACGAACCAAGGCGAGAGCTCAAATTGAGCTCAAGTGAGAACGGCCGAATTCATGACAAAAAGGGCGGCTGCTTGTCAGCCGAAGAACGAAGTGAACAGGACTGGGCATGAACGTGAGGGAGCACATGCGCTTGAGATGCGATTAAGAGGGGGAGGCGGAGGCGGAGGGGAAGGGGGAAGAAGAGGAGGAGTGAGAAGGAGCAGAAGGAGGACAAGGAACATGATGAGAAGGACGAGAAGAAGGAGAAGGAGGAGAAGGAGGAGGAAAAGGAGGAGGAAAATGACGAAGGGTGAGGCAGAGGCAGTGAGGACGACGTTATGAGCGGGGGCCATATGGCAAGGAAGAACAGTTTTTTTGTCCTGAGCCACCTTCAAACCCTGGCGTAGTACTCTCGGTACGGCAGCTCCTGCACCTTGGTGTACCACGCACGGCGATCCTCGCCGTCGCTCACCCACTCCATGACCATGGTGTGGGAGTAGAATCCCTGCGAAGGGGGGACCATCACGATGCTCAAGGCTGGCTGCCCTGGCAGCCAGCCAGCATCGAAACGCCACCAGCGCCCGACGCCGCCCCCGACGATCACCAGAACGTCGGGGCAGCCTGGGAAGGGCCGAGGCGAGGCAGTCGCCATCGTCCTGTCGACCCAACCTCGATTCGGCGTCCTCCTCCCCCTGGGGCCTCTCAGGGGGAGGCCGTGACCGACGTCGCCAACCTCCTGCAGGCGCCATGGGTGCCCGAGGCCAAGAGGGCCCCTGGTCCTGGACACCTCGGGCTCCAGGAGCAGGCACATGCACCGCGGCATCTTGAGCCAGGGGGAGGCTGGAGCGAAAGGGAGGAGGTAGGGAGGAGAATGGGAGGGAGGGATGGAAATGGAAGGAGGGACCCTTAAGAGATCAGGAGACAACACGACTTGATAAGGCAAGTAACTGTACGAAGAAAAGAAAGTAGAAAGGTGAAGAACAAAGGAGCACTATCAGAAGAACAGGGATACGACGCAGACGACAGGGGACGCATTCCATGACAAAGAGATACAAAAAGGGTACGACAAGAGGATACGTGAGCATGACGGCGACGCATCCTAGGAACTCTCATCATCAACAGCAACCCAAACACCTTCAGAAACCATCAAGATAAACATTGTCAAACACCATCAATGAGCTGAACTGATATGTTTGCCACCTTCGTAACCATAAACCTATTGTGTGCATATGTTCAACATGCTGTCGTCAACGTCATCGGCACAGTCATCATGATCGTCATATGTTCGACGGGATGGCTAGAGGAGGCCCTGAAATGGCGGCATTGCCGCTAGCGAAACTCGGTAGCGACGGACCTGGATTTCGGTAGCGACGCCGCGCTGAAATCCAGTATCGCCGAACAAGAATCCAGTAACGGAGTACCGGAATTCACGCGCCGATTCAACGGTTCACGCGTGGATCTCGATACCGGATCTCATCGCTGGATTCCAGTATTCCAGTAACGACCGGCTCCGCTACCACGCTACCGGGTTTGGGCGGTCGCGGATGATCAGGGCCCCTTTTCATGATGAATTGGGGGGGGGGGGAGGGGTTCGAACCGGTAGTGACCCCCCCCGGTTTTCCGGAGGGGGGGGGGGGGAGGGGTTCGAACTGGTAGTGACCGAATATGGGTGGGGAGGGGTTCGAACTGGTAGTGACCCCCCCCGGTTTTCCGCCAGCAGCGGTAGAACACGCTCTTTCAATTATCATGAGCACCACATGGCAGCATGACTCATGACCCTCCCTCAAATTCTTCGTGCCCATTTTCGCATGATATCTTCTGCCCGGCGCCAGCTGTGTCTGTGGGGATCGAGAATATTGTTGTGGGCTGAGGGATTCCGCTCTGAGCGGCTAGGATCTGCTTATCGATCGGTCGGTGGGCCTGGGTCCATGGTTCGATGTTGTCGATGACATGCTTATGAATCCACGGTGGGCTTTTGTTCCTGTGCTGCTAGCCTCATTTGCTGTCCCATGTTCGCTTACCTTGACGTACGCACACACGCGCGCGTGTGTGTGTGTGTGTGTGGTGGGTGGGGGTGGGTGGGTGGGTGGGTGGGTGGGTGAGTGGGTGCGTAGCGATCACCTACGGGCGTTTCTGTTATGTCTGCTACACCTCGCCAGACTGATGCCAATCCGATGCGATCTATTCCGTGGTTAAGGATGAGGAACACATTCTGCGCGTGTAGAACGCGCTTCCACGTGTAAGGTTGTAAGTCCTGTCTGTGCGTGCCCTGGCTGCCATGTGGTTGCGGACTGTCGCCATCAGCGCTTTGGAGAAACAAGCGCGCGCGCACGCGCACGCGCGTGTAAGTGTGTGTGTGTGGGTAACGCGCAACGCCCGCAGCTGGTGCTCGACTACTGGACTCCTGTTCCGCCGCGTGGCCCGACACCGACGCTCGCAGAACGCCTGGGCGATCAACGACAGTTCCGAAGGTAAGCCAGCCCACATTGTTTGCAAATACTCAGCAGAGGCTTTCTGGGGCCAGGTTGGGGGGGAAGCTAGAGGGGGAGGGGGACGGGGGAGCGCCTGGGTTTCACGTTCAGAGCATTTTTCCAGATATTGGCTTTCTGTCGTCACGGGATGAAGAGAAGGAGGGGGAGGACGGTGCGCGGGAGAAGAGAAGGAGGAGGAGGAGGAGAGGGGGGCTAGGAGCAGGAGACGAAGAAGCAGGAGGAGGAGGTGGAGGAGGAGGAGGAGAAGGAGAAGCATGATGATGATGATGCTGATGATGATAAGGATGCTGAGGATGATGCTGATTATGATGATGACGATGTTGATGACGCTGCTGTTAATGATGATGCTTACGATGCTGATGATGATTGTGATGATGCTGATGATAATGCTGCTGCTGATGATGAGGACGATGCTGATGCTGCTGATGATACTGCTGATGATGATGGTGGTGGTGATGATGCTGCTGATGATGATGCTGATGACGATGCTGATGATGATGATGCTGATGCTGACGATTTTGATGATGCTGCTGATGATGATGACGATGATGATGACGATGATGATGATGGCGACGCCGATGATGATGTTGATGGTGATGCTGATGATGATGCTACTGCTGAGGATGATGATTCCGATGATTGTGATGATGCTGCTGATGATGATGCTGATGATGCTGATGATGACGATGATGACTATGATGATGATGGTGATGGTGATGATGATGATGATGATGATGATGATGATGATGAATACGATGATGATGTTGATGCTAATGATGTTGATGATGATGATCATCATGATCATGATCATGATGCTGATCAAGATTATCATGATAATGATGATGCTAATGCTGTTGAAAATGATGATGTGTATGCTGATGCTGCTGCTGCTGCTGCTGCTGCTGCTGATGATGATGATGATGATGATGATGATGATGATGATGATGATGATGATGATGATGATGATGGAAGAAGGGGAGCGAGGAATGGAAGGATGAAGAGGAGGAGAGGGAAGAGGAGGAGGAGGAGGAGGAGGAGGAGGAGGAGGAGGAGGAGGAGGAGGAGCTATGGCGCTACGGCGGACGCGCGGTGCCCAGGTGCTGGCCGGGCCGCCCCACCACACTCACCAAGGGAACGTCATCTCCGACCTTGGCGGGAGCCCTCTCTCCCGTCGGCCCAGCGCCTCCCGACCCTTTTGTGGTCGGAGGCCTGCGCTTGCTTTTCCAATTGCGGGCACACCTTAGGCGATGCCTAAGAAAACTTGAATGTTCGGCCAGAGTCTCGATTATTCTTAACGTTTCAAGGTAAATCCAAACATTTTAATAGAAATGTTGGGTTTTTATTCAAGTTCTGAGACTATGAATTTCTTGACCCATGATTTCTTGAGCATTTCGCAGGGTGTACTGGTGACCGCAAAGTTTCCGCAGACAGTGCAAAACATCACATCACGCAATTCAGATGCTGAGTGGGTCTCGTGGCGGTGGATCGCCATGGGATGCGCAGCGGGCCCAAAGGCAGCGACCCCAAGGCCCACAGAACCTGGCTCCTCATCCTCACGAGGCACGCGGCACTGGGCAAGCCGCCCAGCGTTGCAGGGGCCGGGCCAAAACACAGGCAGGGGCACCTTCTTGCTGAAACGTGCAGAACAGATTCTGCACTTGAACAGGGTCGTTATCTCGGCAGGCGAGAGGCCCTGCTCTTCAGGACGCTCACGTCCGATCTGCGCACTGCTCGCACCAGCGCGCGTGCGGAGGAGGAGGAGGAGGAGGAGGAGGAGGAGGAGGAGGAGGAGGAGGAGGCGGACCTGGGCCGTTACTACACCCCCCCTTTGTCCGACCCGACACGCTCGACCGCCGCGCCGCTCCCCAGGAGGCGACGGCCCGGCGGGCGCGCATCCGGCTGCCCGCGCGCGCGTGGGCTGATCTGCCGCGCGCCCGCGGCCCGGTGCTGATGCTGTGGCGGCTGCGCCGGCGGCCCTCGCTGCGACGCCCGAGGTCGGGGGTACGGGGCCTGCTCCTCCGCCTCGTCCTTCCTCCTCCTCCTCCTCCTCCTCCTCCTCCTCCTCCTCCTCCTCCCTCCTCCTCCCTCCTCCTCCGACTCAATCACAGCGTTGCTCTTGAGGGAGAGGCCTTGGGAGAGCGGGGGGGCAGCGGCGACGGGCCCAGGGGAGAGGGTGAAAGGGGAGGAGGGGAGACGGGCCCAGGGAAAGGGGGAGCGCAGGAACAGGAGACGACTGGGCCATGGAAAGGGTGGGCGCAGAACAGGAGACGACGGAGACGACGACGAACGAACGACGGGGACGAACAAGCCCCTCACACACGCCGAGACAGGGTCGGCGAATTTTGAAACGCACAGTTGGCCACCAATGATTTTGCTTGACACTGTATTTTTGCGACGTTATATAAAATATTGCCTGTGAGTCGGGCGGCATGCGACACGGCACTCACTACGATCGGGATACACCGTTTAGCATACAGAAGGAATTCACCATCACGAGGTATAGATAATGCAATTGATACTGTACGTATCTGAACGTGTTATTCCTCTTGCCGTTGACGAGGTGGCCACCTTGGCTGGTCTTGGGACGCTGCCTGCTGCTGGCGTCCGAGGCCCGCATCGTGGCCGCGTTGTTTCTGCTCTTTGGTCGGCATTTGCACCGTCGTGGCGAGTTCCTCCAGTGGGTCGCGCTCGCCAAGGTTGCGCTCCAGGACGCCATCTCGGGAGCTCCCAGAAAGAGTACCGCCCCGTGCAGAGTGAGACATTCCCCAGGCCTGCGCCCGTTTAACCGTCCTGCCGTTTCCATGCGTAAATATCCGGCGTTTTGAGTTTCTCAATGCGGGGTCCCTGGTGGTTTGTGCATTTTCCCCAGGGCCGGGTCTTCACCCTGATTCTTTTCTCGACGGTCCCGGGGCCCTGCGAGGGCTCCCAGAGGCCGAAAATTGTGAAAAACTCCCTGTTTGAGTTTCTCGGAACGTTGGAGGTCTGAGTGGTGTGTGTGTGTGTGTGTGCGTGTGCGTATGCGTGTGCGTGTGTGCGTGTGTGTGTGTGTGTGTGTGTGTTTGTGTGTGCGTGTGTGCGTGTGTGTGTGTGAGTGTGTGTGTGTGTGTTTGCGTGTGTGCGTGTGTGAGTGCGTGTGTGTGCCCCCCACACCTGTGGGCGGCGGTGACTTATCGGAAGCGAGAGCTCGGACGAGGGGGCTCAAGAAAGCCGCGTCCCACCTCTGGCGGGTGTGTGTGTGTGTGTGCCCCCCCCCAGGGCGGCGGTGACTTATCGGAAGCTATAGCTCGGACGAGGGGGCTCATGAATCCCGCGTCGGCCAGGGCTGCAGCCCCACGGCCGCATCAGAACGGGTATGTCCGGGGACCCAAACATCCCACCGATGTCTGCAGTTTCTCTATACAGTCGGACCGAGGTATATGATCGAGGTCGGGTCGGGGATGGTACCCTAGTGTTTTCTTGTTTGTTGGATAGTCTTGTGCATCCTGGGGAGGGTACCCTTAGATGTTCAGTTTATTTTGGCCGACGGAGGGTCTCATGTTCTTGATTGATTTTCTTCTGCCCGAGGTCTGACTGTACAGGGGCCCTCAGAGTCTGGACCTTTTTTCCCCAGGGCCAGCTCTTCATCCTGAGCAGTTTTTACGGTTCAGGGGCTCGGCGTGCTACCCCCCCAGGGGCAGAACGTGCGCGAGACGAGAAATAGCCGCGTCGCGTTTCTCGAGGCTTTCGAGGCCCAGGGGTGCTTCGGCGGTACCTCTTTGGGCTCCCTGCCGTCCTCCTCGCCTCCTTCCTGCTGATCGTCGTGGTGCTGACAGGCTGGGCAGCCAGCCCCCTGAGCTCGCAGGTGCTCGGCCGTGGCGGCCGTGCCGCCATGTTCTTCGGGATCTGCATCCTTGTGGCGCTGGCGTGGTTCGTCATGGTGAAGGTCTCATCGGGCGCCTCGGGTCAGAAGAGGATGAGATGACGATGCCGTTGCCCTTCGCACGCCGCCAGGGATGGATTCGCCTCGAGGTTCCGGCCAGAAGGCACACCCGGAGAGGTCCGAGAAGTAGAGGTCTCGGTGCCTTTTTGTTCTACATGGGATGGGTGCGGGCCTCCCAGACGGGTTCTGAGTAGATGGGGTGGGAGGATGGCGCCGCCTCGCCGTTGCATTGGCGATGCGGCTCGATGTGGATGGAGCCCGATCTTCTCCACGCAGGCGTCGCCGATGCATCGCCGGCGTTGCCGATGCATGGCCGATGCATCGGCGACGCTGCGCGATACTCCGGCCCCACCTACTCGGACCCCACGTCGACAAATGGTCCTCGTCTGGGGGGTCACTGCATCGCGTCTCCAGAAAGTGCGAATGGTGTCTGGAAAGTGCTGCTGGTGCCCATGCCTGGCTCATGGCTGGCCGCGGCTGGAACCTGGAACTGGCCCCACTGACGCCTCCAGAATGTCGTATACTACACCCTAGGCGATGCCTAAGAAAACTTAAGTTTTCGGCCAGAGTCTCGATTATTCTTAGTGTTTCAATGTAGATCCGAAGATTTGAATAGACATTCTGGGTTTTTATTCAAATTCTGAGACTATGAATTTCTTAACCCTTGATTTCTAAATTTTAAGCATTTCGCAGGGTGTACGCCTCCAGAATGTCGTATCCTGGGCCCGCTTATCAATTGGCAGGCCCATTCCCCCTGGACCTTGGGGGATTTGGGGATTTGGAACTTGGTGCACTTGCACTTGCGGCCAGGAATCGGGCATCTTGGGACCACGTCGTTCCCACTAGTTCCTGTACCCAGGAATCGGGATCTCGGGACAGGCCTTGGCCAGCACAAACTGGCCGCCTGCCCGCTTGTCCTGGAGTTCTTGACGCCTCGCACCGCGCATCCTCCCAGCCCGTCCAGAAGCGAATGGTCCACGCGGATTGCCTCGAAAAGAACAGGTAATTTGAAGGAGCAGCGAACGAAAGAGGGGAGCCTCCCCAGGCAGCGCGAGGCAGGACCCGCCCGCGCGGCCCCCGAGTTGGCCCGGTGTGGGGCCCCTCTTGGATCCCCTGGCTTGGCTCTGGTGCGTCGGGGCCGTGGAGCTGGTCGGAGGGGCGGGGCCTGGCATCGCTCGGACGTGTGCATTTTTTTCCTTCGGCGAGGACCATCGAAGAGCATCCTTGACCATCTGGCAAAAAAAAACCACGCACGAGATCGAAAAAAACACGGGGAATGGACGTCCGAGCGATGGCGAGGGGGGGGGGCGCAGAGGGCCGGGCGGGGCTGGGGCCCGCGGTGCTCCTGGGGCCTGCGCTGCCCGTGGTGCCCACACGGCGCCTGCGGCTCCTGGGGCCGGCAGCCGCGGGTGGCCGCGGCTCCCGGTGTGCGCGGGCTCTCTGCCGCTCTGGCCGTCTGCAGGCCCCGTGCCTGTGGGGGCCGGGCGGCGCCGACACGGTGCCTGCGGGGCCTGGCGCCGTCTGCTGCGACGCCTGCGCGGGGCTGCAGTGCCCGCAGAGTGGTGGTGCAGGATTCGGAGGAGGAGGCGGAGGAGGAGGAGGAGGAGGAGGAGGGAGGAGGAGGAGGAGGAGGAGGAGGAGGAGGAGGAGGGGAGGAGGAGGAGGAGGAGGAGGAGGAGGAGGAGGAGCTCCCGTGGGCTCCTCTTGGGAGCCTTTGGGACGCTCTCGAGGGCCAGTCTCCTCTGAGGGACCCCTCGGGCAATCTCTTCGCCATCCACAGGTGCCGGAGACCTGGCGGAAACCGAAGACGCGAGAAAGCGTTCACCGTTGAGCAGATGAACAAATACGTAGCACCCCGCAATTGCGGATAAGAGTGAGTCATCGTCCTCCCATTGTCGTCCTCCCCCTCATCGGCCTCCATCATCGTCCTCCCATTGTCGTCCATCATCATCAATGTCCTCCCCCGCCGCCCCTCCTCGTGCTCCTCCTCCCCCTCCTCCCCCTCCTCCCCGTCCTCCCCGTCCTCGTCCACCTGCTCCTCTTTCTCCAAATTCTCCTTACATCCTCTCTTCTTCCGCGTCCTCCTCGTTCCCTGTTTACTCCTCCTGCCTCCCCCCTCTTTTCCCAAGATAACGGCAACGCAATCCTTTTTCCCACTTTCTGCTTCCCGATTTCTCTGATCAAGGCAACTGGCCAGGGCAAAGTTGCTGGACGGGCTGGTGTGGATGCGCGGGGCTTGAAAAGGTCGTTGCGGGCTCAGACGGCATGCAAAAATCTGCCGCCGCGCTTGTGCGGCATTGGTTTGTTCAGTGAACGTGGTTTAGGTTGCGGGTGGGTCGCGGGCTCTCCACCTCCACCTGGAAGGACTGCAAAAGCAGCCCGCCGCAGGCGCCGAAAACATTGGTTTGTACCCTGAACGTGGTCGCGGGTGGGCCGCGGGCTCTCCACCTGAAACGAATGCAAAAGATGCCCGCCGCAGGCGCCGAAAAATGTGGTTTGTATCCTGAACGTGGTTTGGGTCGCGGATTGGTCGCGAGTTGGTCGCGGGGTGGGTCACGGGCTTTCCACCTGAAGGAATGCAAGAAAAGCCCGCCGCAGGCGCCGAAAATTGTGGTTTGTACGTTGAACGTGGTTTGGGTCGAAGGTGGGTCGCGGGTGGGTCGCGGGGTGGGTCGCGGGTGGGTCGCGGGTGGGTCGCGGGTGCGGTCGCGGGTGGGCGTCGCGGGGTGGGTCGCGGGTGGGTCGCGGGTGGGGTCGCGATGGTCGCGGGTGGGGCGCGCGGGTGGGTCGCGGGTGGTCGCGGGTGGGTGGGGTGGGTCGCGGATGGGTCGCGGGGTGGGTCGCGGGGTGGGTCGCGGGTGGGTCGCGGGTGGGTCGCGGGTGGGTCGCGGGTGGGTCGCGGGGTGGGTCGCGGGGTGGGTCGCGGGTGGGTCGCGGGGCCGGTTGCGGGTGGGACGACGACAACAAGCAACAACAAACAACAACGAGAGAAATCCCATTTCAGCCACGCACCCAGGGACAGTGAATTACCGTTCGGCCCCCTCACTCTGATGTTCAATGAATTCGGCTTCTCAGGGGCCTCCTTGGACCATGCTCGAGGCCATCTAGTAGGCAAACTTCAGTCATCTTGCGACATCTTGAGGGCAGATTGCTGCTATCTTGGGCCGTCTGAGGCACTCTGATCCCTCGCGGCCCATGGTCTGGACCCTCAACCTGGCATCGCTCGGGCGTGTGCATTTCTTCCTCGGCGAGGGCCATCGAGGAACATCCTGGATCATCGAGCCACAAAACGACGCGCGAAATCGACAATTGAACGGGGAAGGGACGTCCGAGCGATGGCGACCCAGGGTCCGCGCGCCAAAGGGGATGAGTGGTTCTAGAGGCCTCCGGCCTGTGCCGAAGGTCCAGGGTGCTCTGGGACTCAGCGAACTCGTCCTGTTTGGTAGTTTGTGAGCTTCATCTCGAGGAGGCAGGAGGGGGAATCAGGAGGAAGGAGGAGGGGGCGGAGGAGGAGAAGGAGGAGGAGGAGGAGGAGGGGGAGGAGGAGAAGGAGGAACGAGAGTAGTAGGAAAAGGAGGAGGAGGAGGAGGAGGAGGAGGAGGAGGAGGAGGAGGAGGAGGCGAAGGAGGGTGTTGGCCGTCGTCTTGGGCAGAATGAGTTGAATGGGGTGTTTGAGTCGTGTCCGTCAGTCGAGCTTGTTGGCGGGCCAGTTCCCTGACGGGTCGGCTCGTTGGTGGCTCGTTGGGCGTGTCGCGGCCGGAATATTTCTTCGTATTGCGCGGGCCTTACGGCCTGTGCCGCCGACCCTGGAGGCATCGGCTCTCGACGGCAAAGGGGGGAGAGGGGGGGAGGAGGAAGAGGAGGAGGAGGAAAAGGAGGAGGAGAAGGGGGGAGGAGGAGCAGCTAGAGTATTTCTTCGTATTTTGCTCCTTCCTGTCCTATGTGTCTTCCCGTATCTGGTGGTTTTCGGTCCATCCCGCCACCGTGCCTGGGTTGTGGGGCCGAGTTTTTTTGCAGGTTCGTTGGGATCTCGTGGGGAGCTTCTCGGGGATCTCACGGAGACAGGTGCGAAGCCTCTTGGGGCGTTTGGGCGCCTCTTTTTGGCCTCTTGTGGGCCTCTTGTGGCCTCTTGGGGGCCTCTCGGGGCTCTCTGTAGGCTTCTTGGGTCCTTTTGGGGCGGAAGGTTTATGTTGGCCCCTCTTGGAGACGTTTTGGAGCCATCCTGGGCGCCTCTGTGGGCCGTCTCCGGGCTCTCTTGGGCCCCCCTGATGGTCCGCTACCGAAAATTTCCGGTAGCGCTCCGCAGAGATCGGTCGCTACCGAAATACCGAAATGTAGCGCCCAATACCGGTATCAGACCGTTCTGAAATCCGCTATTTCAACGCCCTCAAACGAAGATCCGGTCGCTACCGAAATTCGGGGTGCGTCGAAATCGCTACCGAAAAATTCCGGTACCAGACCATCTGGGCCTCTTGCAGCCCTTTTGGGGGCCTCTTGTGTGGCCTTGGGGCGGTCATGGGAGCTCCGGCCCTTTCCCCAGGCCCCGGCCCTGGCCCCAGCGCCGGCCCCCGTGCTCCGGCTGGGCCCCAACCCTTGTTCCGGCCCCAGCTCCGGCCCCAGACACTGACCGACCCCCCGCCGCGCCACCCCCCCCCCTTTCCCCGTTCCCCTGCGGAGACACCCTTGCAACCCCCTCAGCGGGGCTGAAGCTCAGGCTGTAGTTTTTTTTTCGAACTCACACTCCGGATCGGCGGATTTGTTCTGGAAGAGCCGCCCCGCCCAGGGGGCGAGCGATGCTCGGCTCCTCCATAATCGCCCCGACCATGCCCTGGCATGCTCGACGTGCCCCAGAGCAGAAAATCAGATTGAACGTCACTGTATTGATTTTGTTGAAGTGGGTTTGGCTGGCCCAGGCCTATGTAATCGAGACTCGCTGTCGTCTTTGACCCGGCTTGTCAGGCATATTCTGGTTCTTGGGGTTGGCGCCTGCTGCCCCTGGCGCAAACCTCCTTCGGGCTGTCATCTCTCTGTGCACGCGCATGCGTGCCGCTCGGATGTGCAAAACGATGCCGTGTGGGACCCACGCACGGGGGTCATGCTTTTCTCGTGGTAGTCATCTTCGGGTCGCTCCTCAGCTCTCCGCCGACGTCATCTTGCGAGTTTCGCCGACCCCCCGCTTTATCCAGGGCCGCCACGAGGGTGCGAAGGTGTTCGCGACTAGCGGCTCGCGATTCCTGACCTATCCTCAACCTCCTCGTCCTGTCGGGACGGGTGAGCGGGGTGAGCGGGGCGCAGAGTGGGGAATGCTTCGGCATCGCCGTCGTCGTCGTCGTCGTCGTCGTCGTCGTGGTCGTGGTCGTGGTCGTCGTCGTCGTCGTCGTCGTCGTCGTCGTGGCCGACCCCCGGGTGACCACCTTCTGTGGATTGGTTGCTCGAGGTGGCCGAGCTGCACGAGCTCGAGCTGCGGTGCGTGCTCCCGCCGGAGATGATGAGCGCGTTTTCCACCACCACCACCATAAGTTGGATGGGGCGAAGGGGGAGGAGGAGGAGGAGGAGGAGGAGGAGGAGGAGGAGGAGAGAGAGGAGGAGGAGGAGGAGAAGGAGGAGAGGAGGAGGAGAGGAGGAGGAGGAGGAGGAGAGAGGAGGGGAGGAGGAGGAGAGGAGGAGGAGGAGGAGGAGGAGGAGGAGGAGAGGGAGGAGGAGAAGGGGGAGAAGGAGGACCCCCCCCTCCAACTTATGGTGGTGGTGGTGGAAAACACGCTCATCAGGAGAGCTTCCTGTGCCAGCTGGACTCGGGCCCAGCCAGGGGTTTCGGCACCTCCCTGCTCTGGGTGCCCGTTGGCGTGTTCGCGATACTCTGGAGGATCGGGGGGGGACAGAACCCCCAACAGTGACGCGTCGATTAGTGAATTGTCCGTTTTCGGTTCTCGTGAGGGCGCCGCGGCCGCCATTTTCCAGGCTTGCGCCCGCCAGGTTTGGGCCTCAGGTCGTTTTCACTGAACCACGTTTTACTAAAGGGGGTTCTGTCCATTCCCGAGAGGACCGTCCGACGGCCTTCCACCGTGCTGCCGTGGCTGGTCACCAGAGGGGCGGCAGGCCAGACTCAAACCTCCCATGGATACGTTTTTTTTGAGGAAACCGCTGTCTTCAGAGCCCCACAGCATCAGGGGTAACTCGGGTCAGGGCTAACTCGGGTTCCTTTTTCGGGAATCCAAGCCCGAGTTGCCCCGGACCCGAGTTACCCCGGATAACTCGGGCGTCCAGAGCCCCACATCATCAGGGGTAACTCGGGTCAGGGGTAACTCGGGTTCCTTTTTCGGGAATCCAAACCCGAGTTACCCCGGACCCGAGTTACCCCGGATAACTCGGGCGTCCAGAGCCCCACATCATCAGGGGTAACTCGGGTCAGGGGTAATTCGGGTTCCTTTTTCGGGAATCCAAACCCGAGTTACCCCGGACCCGAGTTACCCCGGATAACTCGGGCGTCCAGAGTGTCCCAGGCCCAACGGCCTCCACCCCTTCCCCAGGGGTAGCTCCTCGTGCCGGCTCCTGGCACGAGAGCGGCCCTTGGGGGCCGAGGTGGGAGAATACCGCTGGGATCGAACACACCTGTCCGCGGGTTCCCAGACGACCTCCTCCTCCTCCTCCTCCTCCTCCCCCTCCTCCCTCCTCCCTCCTCCTGCCCTCCTCCCTCCTCCCTCCTCCTCCTCCTCCTCCTCCTCCTCCTCCTCCTCCTCCTCCTCCGCGCGGCTCCGCCCGACCCACTCCCCCACCCGAGGTCCTCGGCCCCGGGCCCTCCGACGGCGCCCCGGCCGCCTGGTGGGAGCTCCGGGAGCTGCTCCTGGGCTCCCTGCTTTGGCTGGGGGGCGCCGCGTGGCTGGGGAGCGCCGCGGTCGTGGCGCTGGCCCTGCGGCGCAAGAATTAATCAGGAGGGAAAGAAACACACCCAGACCCCCTCGAGTAATGGAAAAATCATGACGGGAGGTTTTTCCTAATTTTCGGTCTCCGGGGGCCCTCACCGGGCCTCGGGAGCGTCAAAAAACGATTCAGGATGACAAACCGGTCCTGGGGAAGGGGTCGAGAACTCTGGGGTCGACGTAATGAAAAATTCATTACGTCGGGGGTCTGGGCACAGACACAATGAATCGTCGATTCCTAGGAAAATATGGGAAACTATGGGAAGTGGTGGGGAAGACAGACGCCCAGAAAATATACGAAAAGATTGGGAATATGTTTATTAGTGTGTCTTTTTGTTGTGTGTCCTGGGGCCCCTTCCATTAAGTCGGGCGTCTTCCTTTACGGGGGGAATCTCCCAAAATAGTCAATTATAGTCTGGGACCGATTTTTTGAGTATTTTTGAGTACTTGGGGGGGTTTGTTTGAGCATATTGCCTGCCTAGGCTCTGCCTAGAAGGGTTCTTACCGTCTTTGCTTAAAGGGGCCGGGCAGTGTTGCCCGCCCCGGGCAGTTCCCCCGGCATCCGCCCCGCGGTTCCCCGCGCCGCGTGGCTGGGGAGCGCCGCGGTCGTGGCGCTGGCCTGCGGCGCAAGAAGTAAGTCGGGCGTCTTCCTTTACGGGGGGAATCTCCAAAGATAGTCAATCATAGTCTGGGGCAGATTTTTTGCGTATGTTTGAGTACTTGGGGGGGGGGATTTTTTGAGCATGTTTTACTTTTCGCCCAGAATCCCCCTGTAGGGAGACACGCCCGACTGAACCCAAGAAGCAGAAGCCACATCAGCAGAGACTTTTGGAGCTCCGCGCGGGTCCCTCGGATCGGCGCCGGGCCCCCAGGCCTGGCGCTGGCCCTCGGTCGAAGAGGAAGCAGCCACATGACCGTAAACTTTGGGAGCTCCGCACGGATGTCTTGGATCGGGCGCCGGGCCCCCTTGGTGGCGCCTCTGGCTCCGCCCCTGGGACAAAAAAATCTCTGCGGACCGCCAGCGGTTTCCGTGCATGTCGCTTTTTTTGTTCCTCTATTCGGCAGGGGGGGAGGGAGCGGAGCGCATGGCATCCCGCACCTCCCGGACCAGAGGGAATGGGGGGGGGCGGGAGGTGCTGCCCCGTGTGGAGCGCTCCGCAAGTGTCGCCCCCATGGCTTGCCCCCAAGTGTCGCCCCCAGAGGCCAGGTCCTCCGTCCAGCCGTGCGCGCGCAGGGGCGGGGTCGGACCGCTCGGGCCCCTCGCTCTGGCCGATGCGCCGCCGGTCGCTGACGCTCAGCGTGCCTCGTGGGCGCCCAGGCTCCAGCCCGCCCTCTTTGGGGCGCCCTCCTGCTTCGGGTGTCGCGCCGGCCCCCCCCCCCCCCCGCCCTCCTTCGGGGGGGTGCTGAGGTGCTGAAGGTTCGGCGGCGAGCGAGGGGAAGCTTCGAGCGATGGCGCGATTCCCAGGTGAGTCGTACGGGAATCCAGATCGGCAGCGCGATCGGAGGTCGGGGAGCGAGATCGCAGTGGAACGGAGACCCCCAACCGGGAGATCGTCTCGTGCTGGTTCTCCTCCCCCCCGCCCGTCCAGCGGTGGCCCGGCTGTCCCGCGGTGTGACACCGCCGGTGTCCCGTGGTGTCCCGAGGTGTCCCGTGGTGTCCGCCGTTGCTATAAGGCGAAGTCGAGACAAATGATGCATTGGCTGACGCCGCACCGCCGACCCCTTGGGGCGGCAGCAAGAGTGAAATATGGAGTTTGCGGAACGATTTCTGGGGAATCTTGGGGTGTCAGCTTCTTGGGATTTCGTCGGGGGCGGTTGGCGGATCGCCGCTCTGCTCTTGGGCTTCACTGGGCTCTCCTGGCAGCATTTTTGAGCCCTCTTGGGAGCCGTTTTGAGGCCTCTAGGAGCCTGTTGTGGGCCTCTCGGGGGCCTCGTGGGAGCCTCTTGGGGGCCTCTTTGCGCCTCCTCAGGTTTTTTGGGAGCCGAGTGCTCGAAATGTTCATTCGGGTTCCCCCTCTGGGCCTCTTCTTGGGGCCGTCCTGGGGCCCTCCTGGATCGCTTTGGAAGCGTCTGGGGCCGTCTTGGGGCCCTCTTGGGCCGTCTTGGAGCCCTCTTGGGGGCCTCTTGGGCTATCTTGGGTCGATCTTAAAGGCTTCTTGGGCCGTTGTGGGCCTCGTGAAAGCCAAAGAGGCGAATGTGCTAAAAATAGACGTTTACCCTGCGGAATGGGACGATGTTTGCTTCTGGAGGGCCTCGTCAGACGCCTCTTGGTGGCTTCTTGGGGCGTCTTGGGGGCCTCTGGGACCGCCTGGAGCGATCTTTCGGCGACTCGCGGCCCTCTTGGACCGTCTGGGGGGCCTCGTGGGGCCCTCTCGGCGCGGTTTGGGGCCCCCTGAGGCTCCAGGGGTGCGGCCGACACCTTTGCCCCCCCCCCCCTCCAAACCGGCCGCACCCCCCGTGGGGAGGGGTTTGGGGAGGGGGAAGCACCTCACACGCCGCGACCCCAAGGGGTCGGCGGAGCCTCCCCCGCCCGCCCCGTCCGTCCGTCCGGCGGTGGCCCGCGGGGTCCCGCGGTGTCCCGCGGTGGCCCGTGGTGGCCCGTGGCGTGAGATCGACAGTGACATCGATGTGGTGCCCCGTGGTGTCCCGTGGTGTCCCAAAAAGTGAGATCGATGGTGAGATCCACAGGTGTCCCGTGGTGTCCCGTGGTGTCCCGTTGAGTGAGATCGATAGTGAGACCGATGGTGAGATCGAGAGGTGTCCCGCGGTGTCCCGTGGTGGCCCGTGGTGTCCAGTGGTGTCCCGTTGAGTGAGATCGATAGTGAGTTCGATATTGAGATCGATGTAGTGCCCCGAGGTGTCCCGTGGTGTCCCGCGGTGTCCTGTTAAGTGAGATCGATAGTGAGATCGATAGTAAGATCGACAGGTGTCCCGTGGTGTCCCGTCGTGTCCCGTTGAGTGAGATCGAGAGTCAGTTTGATAGTGAGATCGGTAGTGAGATCGATGTGGTGTCCCGAGGTGTCCAGTGGTGTCCCGTGGTTTCCTATGGTGTCCCGTTGAGTGAGATCGATAGTGAGATCGATAGTGAGACCGACAGTGAGATCTAGAGGTGTCCCGCGGTGTCCCGTGGTGTCCCGTGGTGGCCCGTGGTGTCCAGTGGTGTCCCGTTGAGTGAGATCGATAGTGAGATCGACAAGTCTCCCGTGATGTCCCGTGATGTTCCGTTGAGTGAGATCGATAGTGACATCGATTGAGTCAGATGTTGGTTCCCCCCCCTCCCCCCCCCACAACCTCCTTATCACCCGAAGGGTGGTCGTATAGGTTCCTGAGTGTTGGGGGCCTCTGTGCCGCAATCCATCGTTAGAAAATGCAGCGCGAGAGCGCAATCCGTGTATACATGTTTCAGACGTCCCGCGCGAGAGCGCGATTTTGAAATACACTGTGGGGAAGTATCATGTAGTTCGGGGGCCAGCAACCCATTCTGAGCCTCAGCACTTCCCTTTGTAAAAAAATCTGGGTGCGAGCCCTGGGAGGGGCAGATCAGGGGAGATCAATCGTAGTCATTCGTCAGCAGAGAGTCCAACACTCCGGGCCACGGACTCCCACTTCAGCCACGCACCCGGGGGCTGCATGACCGCTCGACCCCCTCACTCCTCCTCCTCCCTCCTCCCTCCTCCTCCTCCTCCTCCTCCTCCCCCTCCTCCTCCTCCTCCTCCTCCTCCTCCTCCTCCTCCTCTGATCTTTTGTTCCCCAGGCTTACTGCCGCAGCGCGCGGTGGGCCCGCGTGATGGGGTGGGGAGGCAGTGGCGCTCTGTACCGGTGGGTCTCGTACTTCTCCGCGGCCGCCGCACTCTCGGTCGTCATCGTGCTGGTCTACATCCTCTCGATGGAGCCTCTGATCGTGCTGTGGGGCTTCCTCGCGCAGTCGCTCAGCAGGCTGGGGCTCAAGGGGGAACGCTTTCGCGGGCGTTTCTTACTCCAGATTTCGTAATAAAGGGAGGGGGGTCTCATTTCGGGGGGGGTCTCTTCCAGGCTATCTTGGAGGGCCTGGGGGGTCTGGGGACGATGTTTTGGAGGGTTCTCCCACGGGGGAGGTCTGAAATGGCTTGTCTTGGAGGGTCCAGACCCCCTCCCTTTTATTACGAAATCTGGAGTAGGTTTTTTTGGCGGCCTCCCGGCCTCGGGATGCTCACCAGCACGCGCCCTCCAGCAGCTGCGCCTCGGCGAGGCCTCTGGGCACCGGGGGACAGCGGAGGGGGCGAACATATGCTCAGAGGGGGGGGAGCCTCTTCGGGGCTTCAGGGTGTCCTCCCCCCCTCCTCCTCCTCCTCCTCCTCCTCCTCCTCCTCCTCCTCCTCCTCCTCCTCCTCCTCCTCCTCCTCCTCCTCCTCCTCCTCCTCCTCGGTTCTCGGCAGCCTTCCGGCCCCGGGATGCCCTCCAGCAGCTGCGCCTCGCCGGGAGCGTCTCGGGGGGGGGGGGCCCGAGGCGGCCCGAGCGGCCGCCAGGGACCCGAGCCGCGGCCCGAAAGTCAGGCGTGGCAGCGACAGGGGGGTGGCAGCGACGGGGGGGCACGGGCTGAGGGAGGGGGGGGGGCTGCGTCGCTCCCCGATCGCCCCTTCATCGCCGACGGGGGCCCGGCAGTCAAGCATTGACCAAGGGCTCCCACGAGGGCGCGAAGTTATTCGCGCTTCGCGCTTCGCGGTCCTCGTTCCTTCTCCCCCTCCTCCTCGTCCTCCTTTTCTCCCTTTGGGGGGGCGGCGCGAGAGCGCGAAGTTATTCGCGCTTCGCGCTTCCCGGAGCGCGAAACGCGAAGTTGGGAGCCCTTGTTGACGAAGCGTCCTGGCTCGCCTACAGCCCCACCAAACAATGTTCTGAGAACCTTTTAGGTGGTTTCCACGACATGTTCTCAGAACATGTCTGGCTGATATTGTCTCGTTTTAACACATTGGGCTTCTGTTCTACGAACATTGGTTTTGTTCTTAGAACACTTTTGGGTTCTAAGAACATTCCGTGGTATGACTATAGGAATGCCGGGACGGTCGGCCCCTGCTCAAGACAGCCCAAGGCCCCCATCCAGGGACGTGCGTGCGGATCCGCTCTCGGGGCCGTCGTGGGCGCATCGCCGGGTCCGAGTGGACGTTGCCTCCCCTGTGCTGGCCCCCCCTGCCGCTCGGCCTCGAGAAGCGCGACTGTGCTCATGAAGGGTCCCTTCCTCCTGTGCTCTGTGGGCGAAGGTGGGAGGGAGAGGGGGAGGGAGGGCGAGGGGAGGGGGTTGGGAGAGGGAGGGAGACGGAGAGGGGGAGGCAGGGACAGGGAGAGGGAGAGGGAGAGGGAGAGGGAGGGAGAGGGAGAGGGAGGGCGAGGGAGAGGGAGAGAGAAAGAGGGAGAGGGAAAGGAGAACAGGGACCCAGACGTTCAAGGACTTTTTTTTTCAAGCCGCGGCCCCAGAGTTCTGGACCCTTCCCCAGTGCTGACTCTCCGCCCCCGACCCATTTTCGTTGTCAGTGGGCCCCGAAAACTGCCAGCGGCGGCCGAGCTGTGTACGAACAGCGCCGGGATCGAAAACATCTACCGCGGACTGGCCAGGGAGGGAGAGTGAGGGGGGAGGGGAGGGTGGGGGGAAAGGAGAGGGAGGGAGAAGGGGAAGGGAGAGCAGAGGGTTGACGATGCGACGGGCGGCTTCGCGGCGTGCGTGCTCGATATCATCGCTGCCCGGCTCTGGCCCTGCGTAACTAGCCAGAACGGGCGAGAGGAAGATAAAAAGCAGATGGTCGCCACACTCTAGAGGCAAACTATGCCGACATAGAGCAAGCATTCAGGGGCAACGATAGGGGAGGATAGGCATAGGGTGGGATCCATCGACCCCCAATCGCCCATTGATCGCCGATAGGGGCCCGATGGCCCCAACCTGCACAGGAAGGTCCGGATTCACTATCGGGGACCTGTCACCGATCTATCGGTGGTGTATCGCCGATTCCAGGTCGATGCATCCCCCCTATAACCCCAGGAAGCATTTAAGAACCCCCCCTCCGGCAAATCGATAACCCTTCCGCACCATCATCCATATCCGAATCATCATCATCATCATCATCATCATCATCATCATCATCATCATCATCATCATCATCAGCATCAGCATCAGCATCAGCATCAGCATCATCATCAGCATCATCATCATCATCCTCATCATCATCATCATCATCGTGTCCGGGTGCTACAGCTATCGTTCGGTTATTTCGGCCCTTCGGAATATCGAATAAAAAATGCGGTGCTACGATATCGCCGGGGGGGGGGTCTTAAATGCTTCCCGGGGTTATGCGAGTCCCCTTCGACCGTTGCCCCCCGAGCGTGTTCGAGCCACGCACGGCTGCAGAAGCAGAAACACAGCTCCGAGCGAGCAGTGACGGTGCCGAGCCAGACCAGCCCGAAGCGCCAGAGTCCCGCGCGCGAGGGGGAAAGAGAGCCTGCCAGGCGAGAGGGAGCGGGAGGAAGGTGTGAGGTGATGACCCACCGGAGAGAGGGTGTCCCAGGCGCGGGACGATAATACTACACATGTTATTTACAGCAATAATAAGAACATCACGAATCATATTAATACCAAGAAGAGCAGCACAAACAATACAAACAATGCTTGGAATACTCAGGCTCAGAGGGGCCTTCTAACAGGGCTCGGGAGTCCCCCAGCCCCCAGCCTTCTGAGAAGCTGTCTGAGCCTTCCCCGAGGACGCTGGGAACTTCTCAGAAGGCCGGAAGGCTTCTGAGAAGCCCCGCCGCCTTCTGAGCGGGCCTTCTGCTTCCAAGGGCTCCCCCGAGGGCGCGAAGTTATTCGCGCTTCGCGCTTCGCGGTCCTCGTTTCTCCTCCCCCTCCTCCTCGTCCTCCTTTTCTCCCTTTGGGGGGGCGGCGCGAGAGCGCGAAGTTATTCGCGCTTCGCGGAGCGCGAAGCGCGAAGTTGGGAGCCCTAGCTTCTCTCTCCCCCCCTCCTTCTCGCTCGTCGCCGACATCTCAAACAGACTTCGCTCACCCGGGCAGGGCGCTCGCCGCAGACACATCAAGCACACCTTCGCTCTCTGGGGCAGGGGGCAGACCTTGCCTCCCAACGGGGAGAGCCCTCCCTTCCACGCCCACTCACTCGCTCACAGAGGGGGCCGGGGGCTGACCCTCCCTCCCACGGGGAAGTGCCCTCCCTCCACGATCCCTCGATGGCGACACCGCTGGCGCCTGCGAAGGTGGCGGCGACGACATTCCAGGTGCACCGACGATCAGGAGCGAAACAAGGACGTACATGTACATGAATCCCCGCTGGTTTCGAGAGCACGCATTGCCCAAATGTTCGTATAACGCGGCGGGTCTCGCGAATCGAGGGGCCGTGTTCATGTACATAGCTGGGCGCGTACGTCCTTTGTGGGCTCCCTAGACGAGACAAGGAGGAGCCCGAGGGACCGAAGGTGGCGGCGCGCAGGGACACGTGCCCTCTCGCTGCTGGGCAGGGCCGGCAGCGGCAGCCGCGCGCGCCATCGCTCCTGGACCTGCCAGGCCGAGCCGTCGGACACGTGCGCCTCCGGCCCCCAGGATCGAGTATAGCGAGGACCTTCCTCGCTCCTCCTCTCGATCCTCGGTTCTCCTCCTCCTCCCCCTCCTCCTCCTCCTCCTCCTCCTCCTCCTCCTCCTCCTCCTCCTCGGGTGCGGCCTCTGGCGTGGCCCGCGCCCGCGACCGCTGGCAGCGCGCCCCCTCGGCGCCGCAGCACCACGGGGCCACGGGGCGAAGGGCCGCGAGGGCACCCGGGCAGCGGGCCGACGCCGCGGCAGGTGCCGCGCGCAGGGCCGCGCGCGGAGCGCCCCCGCTGCCGTGCGGCGTGCCGCGCCGGCGCCCGCGCAGAGGCCGCCGCTCGGGCCGGCCGTCTCCCCGGGCCGGCAGGCCGCCGCTCGCCCTGACTCGGGAGCCTTGAGACGGGGGTCAATCCAGACGGGGGTCAGCCAGGGCGCCAGATCCTGCAGGATCCTGCGAAGATTCCCTCTGGCTGACCCGGGTCAGGGAGCCGCTCGTGGCCGCGAGGCGGCCGCGCGTATTGGTTGACCCGGGTTCGCGAAGATCTGCGTTGCAGTTTTTTTATCCTGCATTGCAGTTTTTGGTTTCCCGCTGACCCGGGTCTGGATTGACCCGGGTCAGAAGATCCCCGACTCACTGACTCCAGATCCACTGCTTCTTTTTCAGCCGGCTGGAAGGCGGCGCAAACAAGAAGCAGTGGCTGTGGTCATTCTCCCGTCCCGCACTGAGCCAGCTCCAGACCTGCCTCGAACACCGTTGAGACCGTGCCCAGCCCGGACGGCGCCGGGGGCCGCGCGGGCTCCCGTGGCATGAGGCACCAGAGAGAGGCCCGGGAGGCGGCGCGCGGCCTCGGGCGAGGACCCAGAGGTCCGATGCCGTGAGTTTTTCGATGCGCGATCCCCGGAAGTCTCGACCCATCCCTGACTCCAGATCCGCCCTACTTTGGCTTTTTTCCCAACTTAAAACTGCGTCGGAAATCCACCTGTAAGAGGCGGAAAAAGTGGGGCGGAAATTGCTGCACCCAGCATGAAGTAGGGCGGAAACCCACAGAAGTCGGGCGGAAACAGCAGCAGGAGAGTAGGGCGGAAATTGGCATCAGCGGGGCTTGAAAAGTGAGGCGGAAATTCCAAGCCCTACTCACGAACTTCCCCAAAGGAGGGCGGATCCGGGGTCAGGGCCCCATCGCGCCGCGCTGAGGCCGGGGGAGGGATTGCCCAGACGAGCCGCCGCGGATCCCGCACAGCAGCGCTCGGCGGCCGTGGGCGCGCCCGCCCCAGACCCCCGACGTCATGATTTTTTCATGACGCGACCCCCAGAGGTCCGGACCCATTCCCCGGGACCGGTTTGTCATCCTGAGTCGTTTTTTGACGCTCCCGAGGCCCGGTGAGGGCCCCCCGAGGCCGAAAATGGCGAAAAACCTTCCGTCGTGATTTTTTCATTACTCGAGGGGGTCTGGGGCCGGAGTCCTGCCGTCGGCGGGTCGCGCGCCGCCCCGCGTCCGCTTCGGCGGGCCCGACGCCCGCGTGCGGATCCGGCGCCGCCCTGACGGCGCCTCCATGGCGACGTCCCCGGCGCTCTGCGCGCGCCGGGGTCGGGGGCGGAAAAGAGGGGGGTGATGACTAGGGGGGGGTGGATATCATGTCGTGGGCCATGATTTTTCCCCAGATTCCATGGCGCCTCTTCTTATTTTATTGCATCCCTGGCCCCCCCGCTGGGCCGCGCACATGCCGCCGGTCATGATTTGCATCCCCCCCTCTTGGACGCCCCCCTCTTTGCCGCTCCCGATCCAAGAATCAGGGGGGAAAAGAACACACAGACACAATTCATCGTCGCCTCCCAGGAACATACGGGAAAGTGTGGGAAGTGGAGGGGAAGACAGGCACCCAGAAACTGTGGGGAAAGTATGGGGAGTCTTTGAGTTTGTGTGTATTTCTTGGTGTGTCCCAGTTTCCCTTCAAAGAACTCCGCGCGGACCGGCGAAAGTTTCAGTTGATGCCGCTTCTTGTTCCTCCAATCATGGGCAACGATAGGAGCGATGGGCATAGGGAGGATGCATCGACCCCCAATCGCTCATTGATCGCCGATGGGGGTCTAACAGCCGAACCCCGCCCAGGAAGGTGCGGATTCGCTATCGGGGCCCATCGCCGATCTATCGACGATGCATCGCCGATTCCAAGTCGATGCACCCTATCGTTGCCCCTCGTAGAACCAACCGACGGGAAAGTTACAGATGCGGTTGTCTGCCCGGTCTGCTGGGGGTTCCCACTGCTGGGGGGCAAGCAAGCAGTCCGATCGAGTCAAAGTTCGGCCCGGGATCGGGCGCGACTGCGTGAGACTTCGAGCATCACTGTTGGTGCTCGATTGAAAATTGCACGAAGTCGTCTTCGTGCGTTGTTAAATCATTGGTCAGTGCTGCTTCTAGCCAGTCTGTTCCAAAATAAGCGTTCGAGGATCTTCGCAAATAGTCATCCCATCTCACTGCGGGTCGCCCACGCCCACGTCCAGCCCCAGGAAGAGTTGCAGGGGGATGCCAACGAGATAATCTTGCAGGCCAGCTACGGTAGGTTCGCGTCGTGTCGACTCGCGGCGACCCCAGCGCGGGCGTTCAAGGTTGAACGCCGCCGGCGACCCAGAATCGATCGATGTTGAACGATTGGACGTTGCGGAGACGGCCGATCGTTCAAGGTTGAACGATCCCTGCGGTGTCAAAAACCAACGCTGGGGTCGGCACGACACGAACCCGCCGTATCCCTGTACTGAGACTGGGCCAGCTGGCGCTGAGAGGAGAGGGGGACGGGCGGGAAAGGGAGAGGTCGAGTGCACCAAAAGGGCGGTGTGTCCAGGTCTGTGGGGCGCGAGCGCCCACAATCAGGAGGGAAAGAAACACACAGACACAATGAATCGTCGACTCCCAGGAAAATATGCAAAAATATGGGAAGTGGTGGGGAAGACAAAAACCCAGAAAATATGGGAAAATATGGGGGATATTTTTATTTGTGTGTATTTATTTGTGTGTTCCAGTTCCCCTTCACACAAGGCCTGCCTCGCCAGGCGGGAGGTGTCGCACCCGGAGCGGCAGGGGCGGCCGAAGAAGAGACCTCCCCCTGGCGCGGTCAAGAGGACCCCGACCGGAACGCAGCGACGGGACGTGGCGATGAAGTGGGAGGAGGAGGAGGGAGGAGGAGAGGGAGGAGGAGGGAGGAGGAGGGAGGAGGAGGGAGGAGGAGGAAGGAGGAGCACGTGCCACGCCCTCCCTGCGGCACCCCCGAGATAGAAAGAGGATGCTCCGGCCTCTAGCGCGCCCCGGCGCGCGCGCCTCGGAGCTCAGAGAAAAGAGTGGCGCCGCGTTGGGGCATTGAAGGGGCCCCAGGACACACAAATAAATACACACGAATAAAAAAAAATGCCCTATATTTTCAATATTTTCTGGGTTTTTGTCCTCCCGCCCAATTCCCAGATTTTCCCATATTCTCTTGGGGATCGACGATTCATTGTGTCTGTGTGTGTTTTTTTCCCTCCTGAGGCATCCCCGTCAGCGGCCCAAGGCGTTTGCCGTGGAACGGTTTGCCAGGCGTTCTCACAGGGCGCAAGTCAGTGAAGGTGCTAGCGGTTGTTGCGCTGGCTGTGAGACGGGAGAGGGAGAAGAATAGGGAGAAAGAGAGGGAGACGGAGAGCGGAGAGGGGAGGGCAAGCTAGGTGCGCTCGCGTCATATCTGACGTCCTACCCCTCCCTCCCATCCCTTCCCATGGCGCTGATTTTCTCTATCCGCGGACGCGTGTCGTAGCGGACCTGTGGCTCCGCGCGCGCGTGCGTAGTGGGTGGTGGTGCACGTGCGTGCGTGCGTGCGTGTGTGCGTGGTTGTCGTGGTGGTGGTGGTGGTGGTGGTGGTGGGTGGTGGTGGTGGTGGTGGTGGTGGTGGTGCTGGTGGTGGTGGTGGTGCTGGTGGTGCTGGTGGGTACTGGTGCTGGTGCTGGTGGTGTGCTGTGGTGGTGGTGGTGGTGGTGGTGGTGGTGGTGGTGGTGGTGGTGGTGGTGGTGCGGCGCGGTGGTGGCGGGCGGATGGGCGCGCGAGAAAAAGGCCCGCGCTGGGGCGAGAACGCCATCCTGAACGACGGAGGCCAAACACCGATCCGAAAATGAGGCCCACGCTGCAGCGGGAGCACGATTCGGAACGATTCGGGAGCAGAAATGAGGCCGGCGCCTCAACGAGAGCAGCATTTTGGGAAAAAATGACGCCGGCGCCTCAGCGAGAGTCGTTTCCCGGGATTTCCCGGGGATCTTGTGTGTTAAAAAACAGTACGCGGAGGGTGCGCGGCCATCACCCGGACGCCATCAGGGGAAGAGGGAGAGTATATTCATATTGAGTAATTGTAGAGGGAGAGGAGAGGGACAGGGAGAGAGAGAGCGAGAAGGAGGTGGAACAGGGCAGGCTATGTGCGCTCGCGCCATATCTGGCATCTCATTCCTCGCTCCCATCCCTTCCCATTGGACCGAATTTTCGCTGGCCGCGGACGCGTGTCATAGCCGACCTGGAACTCCAACAAAAAGACCCCATCGTGTTGTGGGCAGCCGGCAAAGGGGAGCTAGTGCGACCCTGGGAGCCTTTGTGGCCACTGGGACCTGTGAGACATGTGGGACTTGTGGGAGTTGTGGGACTTGTGGGAACTGTGGGACTTGTGGAAACTGTGTGACCTGTGGCACTGGCGGGCGTGCCCTGTGGGACCTGGGGGGCCTCTGTGGGACCTGTGATACAAGCGCCACCTCTGGGACCTATGGGACCTGTGGGAATTGTGGGACCTATGGGACCTGCGGGTCCTGTGGGACCTGTGGCACCGGCGGGACGTGTGGGACCTGCGGGGCTTCTGTGGGACCTGTGAGAGTTGTTACTGTTTGGTATCTGCGGGGCCTATCGGGCTCATGGGACCTGCGAGACCTGTGGGATCCAGAAGAGAAAAGTGGCCAACGCTGGGGCGGGAGCGCTATTCTGAGCGAAGGGAGCGCAGCGCCGATCCGAAAATGAGGGCACTGCTGCAGCGGGAACACCACTTTGAAGAACCGGCTACAATCGGATCGCAGAACTGCTCGAGACATCTAAACTCTGCAATCCCTTGTGGGAATCACAATCTGCGGAGGGGGCGGGACATCTTCGAGACAACTCCAGGTGAGAGAGAGGAGAGCAGTCTTCGTTCTGTGCGCAGTGCCGTTTTTAATGCATGCTCCGCGTGCGGATCATGCATTACACATGCAGGGGTTTAGTATTAAAAACAATGATGAATTTATGCATTGATCTGTTTATAATCTAGTCCAATGTATTAAAAACTATATCCTATATTTCTAAAAATCTTATATTTCTCAAAAACCCATATATTTGAAATCCTATATTTCCTATTTTTGAAATCACATATTACAGAATTGGAATCCAATATTTCTAAAAATCCCATGCCATGTATCAAAACTGCCCTGTAACTGCAGCTGCGGAGGGGCCGGAGGTGGAGGGGGATGATCGGAGGTCTGGCGGATCCCCCCCCAGCCTCGGGGGGTGGCACCGGCGGGTGGCCGGAGGGGAGGGGGACGCAAAGGGCCCTCGAGGGGCCTTTTGGGCCCCCTCGGGGCCCCCGCTGGCTCCCAAAAGGGGCCCTCGAGGGCCCCCCCGCTGGCTCCCAATCGAGGGCCCTCGAGGGCCCCTGCGGGGCCCTCCTCTTCGCCCCCCGTCCAGGTCTCCCCCTCCCACCTTAAGTGGCTAGGGGTTTCATGTTTCCAGGGTTTTTCGGTTTCTCGGGGAACTCGTGCAGGCTGCTCGCCTCCTCCTCCTCCTCCTCCTTCCTCCCTCCTCCTCCTCCTCCTCCTCTCCTCCTCCTCCTCCTCATCCTCCCCCCCCTCCTCCTCCTCCTCCTCCTCCTCCTCCTCCTCCTCCTCCTCCTCCTCCTCCTCCTCCTCCTCCTCCTCCCGCCCCCCCGCTGCCGCCCGCCGACCGACCTGCCAGGCCGTCCGGGCGAGCGGGGCCGGGGACGGACCGGCCGCTGCCCCTGGAGGGGCGCCTCGCGCAGGCCGGGCCGGGCCCGAAGGGCCGGGGCAGGGGGCCACATGCGCTGCCTGCCCTTGCCCCCCACGATTTCTGCGGGGCCACATGCGACCCCTCCCTACCCCTAACCCCTCCCCCCCCCCCCCTGCCCCCTCGGAGGTCGTGGGGGGTATAGGGGCAGGGCTCGCAGGTGGCTCCCTGCAGGGTCGGCGCGGCAGGTGGCCAGGGTCCTGGGCCTCCCAGGGTGGGGGTCCGAGCAGATGCGACCTCGGAGGATCGCGCCGCATCGCCGAGGCACCGGCGATGCGGCTCGGTGTGGAGCCCGATGCTCTCCACGCCGACGCCTCCGACGTGTCGCCGACGTCGGCGATGCGTCGGCGATGCGGCGCCATCCGCCGATCCCCATCCGCCTGGACCCCACCCAGGAGGCTTCTGCTTGCGCGGCAGGTTCGCGCCGTGCCGACGCGGCGGCGGCCCCCCGCCGCGGGCGTCCGAGCCAGCCCCGGTGAAGGCAGAACTGCATGGGCCATGACGTTTCGGAGCTCTGCGCAGACCTCCTGGGCAGGATTTTCGGAGCGTTGCTCGGATTCCCTGCTCGGATAACTTTTCGGATTTTCGGATAACTTTTCGGAGCGCTGCTCGGATTTCCTCGGTGGGCGCTGGCGCCTCCGGCGCCGCCCCAGGCGCGCTCCGCGCGCCCGGGAGCGGGGGTCCAGCGCAGATCCAAGAAGCCCGCGCGGACCTCCGACAATCAATGTCTGAGCACTGTTTTGGTTTTGATTCTCCTCTGCAGTTCGCGCCTGCTCTCGGAGGGGGTTCGGCAGTTTTCGTCGGCTCTTTGGAGGTTTTCCAGCCTCGGGGTCATCTCCTGCCGCTGCTCAGGAGGGAAAGAAACACACAGACACAATTAATCGGCGATTCCCAGAACATATGGGAAAATATGGGAAGTGGGGGGGAAGACAAAAACCCAGAAAATATGAGAAAATATGGGGGATGTTTTTATTTGTGTGTATTTATTTGTGTGTTCCAGTTCTCCTGCCGCTGCGCCTCGCCGAGGCGGTGCCCAGCTCTTCCCGCACGGGCGCCGCAGGCCGCCGGGTCCACGCCCCGAGAGCCAGGCCTCCTCGCATCGGGAGCAGCATCGCGACGGAAGGGTGGGCGGAGGCCTTCGGGGGCAGACGCCGAGGCAAAGCACGACGTTTGTGGGCTATCTGGGAACCCAGACCCCCTCGAGTAACGAAAAAATCACGACGGGAGGTTTTTCGCCATTTTCGGCCTCGGGGGGCCCTCACCGGGCCTCGGGAGCGTCAAAAAACGACTCAGGATGACAAACCGGTCCCGGGGAATGGGTCCGGACCTCTGGGGGTCGCGTCATAAAAAAAATCATGACGTCGGGGGTCTGGGAAGGTTGTTCTACCTGACACTTCCGACACCTTGCATACTTGCACGCTGGCAGTACTACTCAGTTTCAGCCAGCCCCCTCCACTCGCCGGTCCGCCGCTGAGGTGCTGCGTGAGGCTCCGCCTAGCCGCTTTAGGTGAGGCTGCGCCCCGTTGCTTTAGGTGAATGTGTCGCTGCGTGTCCCGTTTTGACTGGACTCGCCGCTGGCGCGTCCGGCTGCGGCCGCTGACTAAAAACTATCTGGGAAGGTTGAGCGCCTTTGCCACAGAATCGGCCCGCACTCGGAGGTCTCAAAGCCCCCATTTTGCCAAGCAGATCAGCGAGCAATTCTTTGTTTGGTCCTCCAGGGTGACGCCGCTGGTGGCACAGAATCGGCCAATGCTCGATGGTTTCGAAGCCCCAGCACCCACCATACCACCCCGACCCAAACCGAAGGCCCCAGTTTGCCCTCCATTCCCAGTGGGAGGGCGTCGGGGAACATTGACAAAACCCGAAATTTAGCTCTTCGGGTTGGGTTGAGGTGGTCTGGTAGGCAGTCAAAGCCCCACCCTGCCAAGCTGAACGGCGAGCTGTCCTCCCTTCGGCTCTCCACGGGGACGCCGCTGGTGGCACAGAATCGACCAATGCTCGGATGTTTCAAAGCCCCACCCTGCCAAACAGATCTGCGAGCTGTCCTCTCCTCGGTTCTCGGTCCGGAACGCTCTCAGAGCGTTCCATAACGCTCTGAGAACGCCTCGGCGGCCAAGACATCCTCCAGAGCCGCCAGATCTCAGAGATTCTCGATTTATCCTCACCCGATTTGGTCCTTGTCCCGGCTTCGTCTTGGGGTCATAGGGGCGCCGGTTCCACGGGGGCATCGTGATGGGGGGGGGGGGGGATACGGTCGGTCCGAGGTCTAAGGTCGAGGTCGGTTCGGGGAGGTACCCTAATGTTATTGCGAAGGCCTTACGGCCGGTGCCGCCGACCCTGAATGGCGACGACGACGACGACGACGACGACGACGACGACGACGACGACGACGGGCGCTCTTGGGGGCCTCTTGGGGGTAGTTTGTGGGCCTCTTGGGAAGGTACCCTACTGTTTTTCGTGTTCCTCGCTGTTTGAAGGATGCTCGCCTGTCCTAGGTCCGGCCGTAATTAGGCTAAGGGGGGGGGGGGCGTCTTCGAGGCTTTCGGTTGTTTTCGTCGTCGGCCCTCGGCGGCGTTCCGGTCTCGGGGTGCTCCCAAGCAGCTGCGCCTCGCCGAGAGCGCTCTGGAGATGCCCAGGACGTTCCGATGGGCCGCCGGTGGGTCGAGCGATGCAGCGAAAACCGAGGGGCAACGTTGGGGGGGACAGGGGGTAGGTTTCGTGTGTGTGTGTGTGTGTATGTGTGTGTGTGTGCGTGCGTGCGTGCGTGCGTGCGTGCGTGCGTGCGTGCGTACGTGCGTGCGTGCGTGCGTGCGTGCGTGCGTGTGTGTGGGTGATGCATCGATCCCCGATTGTCCATCTCTCGCCGACAGGGGCCCGACAGCCCCACCCCGCACAGGAGCGCGCAGTTCCGAAGTCGGGGGCCCATCACCGATCTGTCGGAAATGTATCGCTGGCTCCAGGTCGACATTTCTTCGAACCGGTTTCCCCTATCGTTTCCCCCATTTTCTGCCTTCTCCTCCTCCTCCTCCTCCTCCTCCTCCTCCTCCTCCTCCTCCTCCTCCTCCCCCTCCCCGTCCCCCTCCCCCCTCCACAATTACTCAATATGAATATACTTTCCCTCTTCCCCTGATGGTGTCCGGGGCATGGCCGCGCACCCTCCGCGTACTGTTTTTTTACACACAGGATTCCCGGGAAATCCCGGGAAACGACTCTCGCTGAGGCGCCGGCGTCATTTTTTCCCAACATGCTGCTCTCATTGAGGCGCCGGCCTCATTTCTGCTCCCGAATCGTTCCGAATCGTGCTCCCGCTGCAGCGTGGGCCTCATTTTCGGATCGGTGTTTGGCCTCCGTCGTTCAGGATGGCGTTCTCGCCCCAGCGCGGGCCTTTTTCTCGCGCGCCCATCCGCCCGCCACCACCGCGCCGCACCGCCACCACCACCACCACCACCACCACCACCACCACCACCACCACCACCACCACCACCACCACCACCACCACCACCAACACCACCAGCACCAGCACCAGTACCACACCACCACCACAGCACCACCAACCACCACCAGCACCAGCCACCACCACCACCATCACCACCACCACCACCACCACCACCACACCACCACCACTACCACCACCAACTATCACCACCACCACCACGACAACCACGCACACACGCACGCACGCACGCACGCACGTGCACCACCACCCACTACGCACGCGCGCGCGGAGCCACAGGTCCGCTACGACACGCGTCCGCGGATAGAGAAAATCAGCGCCATGGGAAGGGATGGGAGGGAGGGGTAGGACGTCAGATATGACGCGAGCGCACCTAGCTTGCCCCTCCCCCTCTCCCCCTCCTCCTCCGCCTCCGCCTCCACCGCCGCCTACGCCTCCCTTCTCCTCCTCCTCCTGCTTCCCCTTGCTCCTCCACCTTTCCTCCCCTCCCTCCCTCCCTCCTCCTTCCCTCCTCCCTCCTCCTCCCTCCTCCTTCCTCCTCCTCCTCCTTCTCCCCTCCTTTTTCCTCCTCCTTCCTCCTCCTCCGCCTCCTCCTCCTCCTCCTCCTCACCTCCTCCTCCTCCTCATCCTCCTGCTCCTCCTGCTCCTCCACCTTCCTCCCTCCCTCCCTCCCTCCCAACTCCCTCCTCCCCTCCCTCCCTCCTCCCTCTCCCTCATCCACTCCTCCCTCTTTTCCTCTCCTCCTCCGCCTCCTCCTCCTCCTCCTCCTCCCGCCTCCACCTCCCGCGTCCTCCTCCTCCTCCTCCTCTCCTCGTCCTCCTCGTCCTCCTCCTCCTCCTCCTCCTCCTCCTTCCTTCTCCTCCTCCACCCTCCTCCTTCTCACGCGTAGTTTCCTTCTCGTTTTTCTCCTACTCGTCCCTCGTCGTCGTCTCCTCCTCCTCCTCCTCCTCCTCGTCCTCCTCCTCCTCCTCCTCCTCCTCCTCCTCCTCCTCCTCCTCCTCCTCCTCCGCTGTTCTCATCGTTCTCCTCGCCCTGGCGCGCTCCCCCCGCGGGGTGCTTTTCCCTCGTCCCCTTGGCGCAGGTGTGCTCGCTCTGGCTCCTGCTGCGGCGGCTGTACCTGGAGGCCGACCGGCGGCGTGCGCGGCGGGCGGCCCCGGGACGTGTGGCTCTGCAGGTCTCTGCGGGGCTCTCAGCGGACGACGTGCTCCTCCTCCTCCGCCTCCTCCTCCTCCTCCTCGTTCTCCTCCTCTCCTCCTCCTCCCCTCCCTCCCCCGCCTCCTCCGCTCCTCCTCGTCTCCTCCTCCTCCCCCCTCCTTCCTCCTCCTCCTCCTCCTCCCCTCCTCCTCGTTCTCCTCCTCTCCTCCTCCTCCTCCTCCTCCTCCTCCTCCTCCTCCTCCTCCGCCTCCTCTCCTCCTCCTCGTTCTCCTCCTCCTCCTCGTCCCCCTCCTCGGGCAACGTTGGTGTGGACCGGCTCTCCTCACATCCCCTGCCCTCCCGTTGCAGCCCTTCTCCCTCCCCTCCCTCCCCGCTTGTGCTCAGGGGCACCGTCAGGCTCAGGGGGGATCGTCATTTCCGTTTTCGGGCGTTCTTTCCAGCCCCGGGGTGCTCTCCAACATCTGCGCCTCACTGAGACGTTCTGGGGATGCCCGAAACGTTGCGAACGGCCGCTGGGGTTATGGGCCGATAGTCTGTTTCGCTATTGGGGCCTATCGCCGATCTGTCGGGGAAGGATCGCCGATTCTGGCTCGATGTTTCCTCCCCCCCTTTAGCCCGTCCCCCTAACGTTGCCCCCCAGGCTCAGGGACAACTTTCGGGGGGGGGGATTGGCCCAAGGGGCATATGTTCGAGCTCTTCGGACCGAGCCAGATGCTCGTCTAGGGGACTGTCTTGAGGCCGAGGCCCATCTCACGGACATGTTCGACGACGGTGTGACTGCAGTCATTCACCACCCACCAAACCACCCCAACCCAACCCGAAGGCTCAGATTTACCCTCGATTCCCAATGGGGGGGGGGTCGGGAAACATCGAAAAAACATGTGTGGAACCCTTACCCCCCCCAACCCGAAATTCGGGCCTTCGGATTGGGTCGGGGTGGTCTGGTAGGTCGCGGGCGATGTTTCTCCCCCAATCCCCGAGTTTCGCCCGAAAAGTCTGGCCGCTCAGAAGAATGGGAAAACCCTGGGATACACCCCAAGGGGGCTATTCGGACGCACCCCTATCGGCTATTCGGACGCACCCCTATCGAGAATGGACACCCCCCCATCGTATACCCCAGGGTTAGGCCCCAAATTTCTGGTCCATTCGGAAACCCCACGAAGCCTGGGATAGGGGTCGACATATCCCCTGTTAGTAGGTAGTCAGTCAGAGAGGGCCCGCCCGACGGGCTCGAGCCGAGGAGTCATGCACGGCAGCAGCGTATAGCCCCTCGGAGGTCCGCGGTTCCGCGCGGACTTCGGGCAGTGGCGCCGGACCCCGTTGGCGGCCTCCCGCGGCGCCCCCCCCCAGCAGGGCTCGTTTCGAATCCTCCGATTCGATTCGATTCGACTCCGATGGATTCCGATTCCGATTCGATTCGATTTCGGATGGGCTTCCGACTCGGATTCCGATTTCTGATTGGAGGCACACTAGTCTGCCGATTTCCGCCGATTCGGCTTTTCCCGACTCGGCCGCCGATTTCCGCCGATCCGACTCACTTCGATCGCCGACCCGACTTGTCGATTCGACTCTGGGGGCGCCTGCCCCAGCCGCATCGGTCCCATCCCAGCGTTCCCTCGTTTCGAGGCGGGGATTTCTACATCGCCACCGCCTGGGGGTTGGATGTTCGGAGACCTCGAGAGGCGGTGGATACTCCAGATTTCGTAATAAACGGGAGGGGGTCTCAACCCTCCCAGACGAGAAGAAGTTTTAGACCCCCCCCCGTGGGAGAACCCGCCAAAACATCGTCCCCAGACCCCCCCAGGCCCTCCAAGATAGCCTGGAAGAGACCCCCCCCGAAATGAGACCCCCCTCCCTTTATTACGAAATCTGGAGTACATAACCACCGCCTGGGGGCTGGATTTTCGGAGACCTCGAGAGGCAGTGGATATGGATATATGTCCGTGCCCCCCGGGGTCCCAAACGCAGCCATGTCTACCGCCCGCCGGGGTCCCAGGGCGTGGGTTCTGCCGTGGGAGGATGTGGATATGTCGGTTCCAGTTCGGTTTCGGACCCCCGCGATTTTAAGATCTTTGCGCGAAGCCGCCTCCTCCTCGTCCTCGTCCTCCTCCTCCTCCTCCTCCTCCTCCTCCTCCCCTTTCGTCCTATCATCGCAGAGTTCCATAAGTCGCAGGGGCCCGAAACCGAACGGAAACCGGATCGGTCCTTGCCTCGCATGCCACGGGAGTGGGGCGGGATTGCTCTAGGCCTCCTAGATGGGGTCGGAGTAGATGGGGTCGGACGATCGCGCTGCATCGTCGATGCATCGGCGATGCATCAGCGATGCGGCTCGATGCGGGGCCCAGTCTTCTACACGCCAAAGTCGCCGATGCATCGCCGACGTCGCCAGTGCATGGCCGATGCATCGCCGATGCATCGGCGATTCATTGCCGATGCATTGGCGATGCGGCGAGATCCTCCGACCCCATCTATTCGGACCCATCTAGGAGGCCTCTAATTGCCGATCGGCCTCCCACCTCCCCTCCCCCCCCTCCCGACTGTGGGTTCGCTGCTGCTGCCGTGGCCCGAGAGCTCCGGCCACGACCGCGGGGCTCGTGAAGTGTGCACCCCTGCAGTTTGGGGGTGATTGCAGTGTCCTCCTCCTCCTCCTCCTCCACCTCCTCCTCCTCCTCCTCCACCTCCTCGTCGTCCTCCTCCTCCTCCTCCTCCTCCTCCTCCTGGCCTCCACTGGAGGGGCGGCCTCCCCTGGGGGGGTTGGGCGGGCCTCCACTGGAGGGAGGCCTCGCCTGGACGGGGGCCTCCCGCCCTCCTCCTCCTCGTCCTCATCCTCCCCCTCCTCCTCCTCCTCCTCCTCCTCCTCCTTCTCCTCGTCCTCCTCCTCCTCCTCCTCCGAGCAGTTCAGTGTGCACCCCAGCACCCCCCAGCCCGAGGGTGCCTCCGCAGGTCCAGGCCGCCGTGGCGCAGCCGTTCCAGGCGGAGCTCCGCGAGGACTTTGTGGACGCCTGCGCGTGCCTCTCGGGGCGCTGCCGGGGGGACCTGGAGAGTCAGCAGGGTGGTCTGCCTGGCGGCGAGGTTCTGAAGGTGAGGCTGAGAAGCCCACATGCGGTGAAGCGCGTTCCCCCCCCCTTTCCACTCCTCGAGAGGGGTCCTCGTGCTGTTTTTAAGGAGTCGGGGGAACGCTTCTTGAGTAAGTATAATCATGGGTGCCGGCTGTTTATTGTTGCGGGAGCCTGTGAGCTGATCTCAACAAGCCCCATGCTCTCGTTCCAGTAAGCACGCACCGCTCTCCTCATATAACGAGATGTGGGTAGCCAGTGGTAATGACGGTCTCGTGTAATAATCTAGGCAGGAGGATGCCGTTGTTGGCGGAGCCCGTGGTCCACATTGCCCCTGGTCGTTTGGCCTCCAGAAACGAAGAGGACTCATGGGATGCACTTGTACGATCTTCTGTCCCAATAGGGCAAACTATGGTGATCTCATGTGCCAGGTGAGGGCATCTGGGCAGTGTGTGGAACGAGATAGGACCTTGCCTTCTCATCCAGTTCTCACTGATGGCGCTGGTCATCTCTGATGGCACGCCTTCTGTTTCGGTGACGTGAAGTGGGCGTGCAGCAGCGGGGCAATGCCTGGGCAGTGGCTAGTGCACAGAAGGGCCTCGGACTGGGCTAGGACGAGGATAAAATTTGTTCCAGAGCGGTCCGGAACACTCTCAGAGCGTTCTGGAACGCTCTGAGAAGGCCGCGGCGCCCGACACAGCTTCCAGACCCGCGGGATCTCGGAGATTCTCGATCTATCTTCACCCGAATGTATCCTCGTCCTTGGCTTCGTCTTAGGGCTCGTGCTTCTGAAGGCAGGCTCCGCCCGCTCTGCCTTGGGCTGTGCCGTTCGGAGGACCTGTAGTTAATTGGGGGGGCAGTGAACGGGGGGGGCAGCGAGGCCTGCAGAAAGGGGCCCTTTAGAGCCCCCAAAGGGGCCCTTTGGGGCCCAGAAGGGGGCCTTGGGGGCACGCCGAAGGGCACCTGTCTGCCCCCCCCCTACTCAATGCTCCCCATCAAGCGTTACCCAAGCCGTGCCATGGTGGGGCCAGGGGCGAGGTCGCCGCCTCGTGGAGTCTTCCTGCGCCCTCCCCTGCCGCGAGTGCCGCACCCTGCCGCTTGACGGCCCCCGCTGCCCTTTTCGGTCCCAGCTTCTTGGGGGCGCCCTTCGCTGGCACATGAGAGACGCAAGAATACGGGGTCGTCTTCGCCGACGTTGGCGCGTAAGCTGCCCGCGTAAGGTCGCGCGTTAGCGCCCTCTTTTCTAGTGAAGCGTGCCGCGCTGGCGGCCCGCGTGAGACGCGGCGTGAGGTCGCTACGCCGTCTCGCGTAGCGCCCCGTGTCTTGTCGTCGCACTCGGCAGGAGGACGAGGAGGCGGAGGGAGGGGGGGAGGAGCACGAGGACGAGCAGGGGTATGGGAGGAGCGGCCTCCACTGGAGGGGCGGCCTCCCCTGGGGGGGTTGGGCGGGCCTCCACTGGAGGGAGGCCTCGCCTGGACGGGGGCCTCCCGCCCTCCTCCTCCTCGTCCTCATCCTCCCCCTCCTGCTCCTCCTCCTCCTCGACCTCCTCCTCCTCCTCCTCCTCCTCCTCCTCCTCCTCCTCTTCCTCTTCCTCATCGACATCCTCTTCCTCCTCCTCATCCTCCTCCTCCTCCTCCTCCTCCTCCTCCTCCTCCTTCTCCCTGGAGGGGGCCTTCCCCGGAGTGGGGAAAAGGGGGGGGGGGAACGGTCGC